CCCTAAACCCCGAACCCTATACCCTAAACCCTAAACCCCTAAACCCCTGCACCCCTAAACCCCTAAACCTCAAACCGATGCGTTCTCGCCGCGCTGCTCGGGCCTCCTTGGCGTTGCTGGGGGCCTTGGCCTGCCGCGGGCCACGAGGCTCTGGCTAAGGGTTCAGGGTTCAATGCGGGTTTAGGGATTCGGGATTAATAACGTAGGGTTTAGGGTTTGGGGAATCTTTTGGGGTTCAGGATTCGAGGTTTAGAGATAAGTGTGGGTACAGGGTTGAGGGTCTAGGGTCTACCTTAAGCTACCAAAACCTACTTTGCTGTAGGATCCCTATAAATCCTATATTAGGTTTCATAATAAGAACCTACAGAAAATTAGGTTATGGTAAACTCCAGGTAGAAACCCTATTTCAACCCCTTTTAAAGTTTGAAACCCTGTTTTGAAAACGAATTTTTCGTTTTCAAAATAGGGTTTCAAGTTTAAGGTTTAATGGGTTTTAAGTAGGGTTTCCACATGGAGTTTATAGGGTTTGGGGGGTTCTAGTGGAGTTGTAGCTAGGTTTGTTGTTGGGGTTAGGGTTTAGGTTTAGGGGCTTTGGGGCTTTAGGGTTAGAGTTTAGGGTTTCAGGGCTTTGGCCCTCACTGTTTGGGTAAGAGCTTAATACGCTTTAGGGTGTTGCGCTTGCATGGGCCTGACTAAATAGTCATACTACTTCCCTGTCATACTGACCGAGAATCTACCTCTAAACCAGGTTGCAATTCTTGAGGCCCCTATGTTACCCATGATCTCTTAGGGGCCTATTCCCTAAACCCTAAACCCTAAACCCGAAACCCTGAACCCTAAACCCTAAACCCTAAACCCCCTTAAGTCTCGCTTGCGTGGCTTGAGAACTGTCAGCGACACGGTTTGGGGTCGTGTGTAATTCCACCGGGACCGACTCTATACCCGAGATTTAGGGTTTAGGGTGTAGGGTTTAGGGTTTAGGGTGTAAGGCTTAGGGTTTAGGGTGTAGGGTTTAGGGTTTAGGGTGTAGGGTTTAGGGTTTAGGGTGTAAGGTTTAGGGTTTGGGG